GGGATTCCCAACTACCCCTTGCGGATTTCGGCTATAACACCAACTATCATTCCCGCATTAGCGCCCCACCTTTTGAGCTGTTGTATGGGCAGAAATGAAGCACCCCGGTTTTTTGGGGTGAGGTCGGACACAAGGTGAACGGATGGACGGAGGTAGTTTTGCAGACTACCAAGAAAATGCAGTAGATTAGGCAGCGATTGTAGACTGCCCAGAGTCGGCAGGAGAGTTTTGCCGATAGACACTGATTTGAGTTAGAGTTCCAGATGGGTGATATGGTACTCTTGAAGGTCTCACCCTGGAAGGATGTGATCCGCTTCAAGAATAGGGGGAAATTGGGTCCCCGCTTCATTGGACCGTTCAGGATCATTGCCAGGGTTGGCAAGGTGACTTATAGGCTAGAGTTACCGGAGGAGCTTAGCCAAATCCACAACACTTTCCACGTTTCGCAGTTGCGAAAGTGCGTTATGGATCAGGAGGTAGTGGTGGTGTCCGACGATATCCAAGTCGATGAGCGCCTAAATTACATTGAGAGACCTGTGGCCATACTAGAAAGGAAGAAGAAAGTTATGCGGAACAAGGATATACCTTTGGTGAAGGTGCAGTGGGAACATCGGAGGGGATCCGAGTGGACGTGGGAGCCGGAGGCAGAGATGCGGGAGCATTATCCGACGTTGTTCATCTCAGAGGAATTCGAGGGCGAAGTCTAGTTCAAATGGGGGAGAATTGTAACACTCCGATTCCCGAGTATTGATTTCTTTTGTTATAAGATCTTTTTGATTTCAAGGTCTACTCGACGAGTTGGTGGCTTGACTCGTCGCGCAGCAGCGAGTTGGTCCACGTGTTTAAGTGACCTACTCACCGAGTACAAGGAGGGGATCAACGAGTAGAAGCTGGAGGATGAAACCATAATTTTTGGGGTTTTGCACCCTATTTAAAGGATCATTAGCCTCCCCAACCTCCCCTCTACAACCTCTTGCCATTCTAAACCCTAAATTCGTGTGTTAAGCTTTGAAGAAGGATTTTAGTGAGAGAAGCTTGGGGAAAACAGTTGATTAGAAGCAAGGAACTCGTGAGGAATCAAAGATCAACTTCAGTGGGCACCCATTTTGAAGGTATTAAGTTGTTACCTTGGCTCGTCTCTTCTTAGAACTCCTTTGGATGGTTTTTGGGAAGCTTTTCTTGTGTTTGGGCTAAGATCTGAAGTTGCAACTTCAGATCTGCACAATTTTTAGCCTCTAAGTCCATCAAGTTGCCAGCTTTGGCAAGTATGAACCTTCCCTCAAGTGCAAGACTTCTTTGCAAGCTTAGTTTTGTCATTTTAAGGCTTTAGAGCTTTGCATGCACGTAAAGTTTGCAACTTTACATGATAAGCATGCCTTGGGAAGCTGGATCTGTAATATGGAGCCTTTGCATGGCTTATAAATCATATGTATGGATGAAGGACTGAAGGGACTCGGCAAGTGGCATGGTCGATTCTGCGAGTCCGATGAAGATTATCGTGGGCTCGGCGAGTCGGATGAGTGACTCGGTGAGTCGGATGGAGTTTTTCCCAACTGTTGGACATATATGAACTTGGCAAGTTGCAAGGGAAACTTTACGAGTCGGCCAAGGAGTTTACGACAGCAAACCTTAGGAACTCGACGAGTCACTCTAGTGACTCAGTGAGTTGGTGAGCTTTGCATGGAACTCAGCGAGTAGTTGAGGGTACTCGACGAGTTGAGGTTAACATGGACTGTTGACCTTGACAATTGATTTTGAGTTTGACCAAGGGTTGACCAGTTGACTTCTGGGGACATTCTAGGAGATTCGAGATTCACAAGTATGGTTTTGCAATGAATATAGGTGGTGGATTTGGGACGGTAATCCGAGAGTTTGAGCTTATCCTACGAGTCGACAGTTGCGAGGTGAGTTATCCTCACTATACTCAGGGGTCTAAGACACCAAGGCCAGCCCTTTTGTATTGTTATCTGGTTATGTTATACTAGTATGATCTATTACATCGGTATCCTAGAGGGTAGGATAAAATTATGTGGTATGTGATATGATCTGTTAGATCGGTATCCTGGTAGATAGGATAATATTATGTGGTATGAGGTTTGATCTTTTAGATCGGTATCCTGGTAGATAGGATGGTATTATGTGGTTTGTGGTACGATCCGTTAGATCAGTTGTTGTCTATAGATTGTTATGTGATTATCTGTTATATGTGCACAAGTTTGTTTGGCGGTTGAGGCTTATCTGCTTTGTGCGAAAGCCAACAGACCTGGGAATTCCAACCTATTGGGCCATGAGTATTCCATCCCGAGGATGATTGGACTCATAGTAGGTGGGCATTCCAACCTATTGGTTGTGGGCCTGGAGTATTCTATCCAGTGGATGATTGGACCCATAGTATGTTGGCATTTCTACCTGATGGTTGAGGGCCTAGGGTATTCCAACCCGATGGTTGACTGGACCCATAGTATGTTGCTTATGATTATATGTGTACTGCTGTGAGTATGGGTATTATGGGGAAACTCACTAAGCTTTACGGCTTACAGTTTCAGTTTATTGTTTCAAGTACATCAGGGGATCGGGGCAAGGCGAAGGCGTGATCGTACAACACCTCATGTTTTATTACCATTTATGGGAAAAACTCTGATATAGACTATTTTGGAAACAAATTTGTACTAATTGTTGGTTTTAAATGTTTTTTTAAAATGTTTTAAATTGGACTAAATTTTATGGCACTAACCATCACTTCACTCAGTCCAATGCAGACACCCTTTAAATCAAGGAACATTTAGCTTTTTGATAACTATTATATTCAAGAATTAAATGAAGAATAGGAAAAAATCAAAAATAAATAATGTACTTGTCGTTTGCTAAAATTAGGGTCCTTCATGCATCTGCAATTGATTCAGTATCTATAATTGATTCAGTAGCATCATTTGTAACATTTGATCCAACCCAATGGGTCCTATTTTTCCATGCTTCTGCAATTGATTCAGTATCTAGTTTTAACTCACATCATCTTGGTAAACAAATAGATTTGGCCACAAGCATCCAGGTGTAGGTTTGATTTCTTGCCACTACAATAACACATTATACGATGCTAAATAGTCATTAGATTTTCTTTTCATTCTGCTTAAAACAAACTGTGATCATTGAATAATGAGATATCTAATTTGGTGTCTACATCAGATGTTCACCTATCTGGATGGTCTTTTGCAGTTCCCTTTAATTCTAAGAAAAAAAAAAGGATAACTATTGCAGATCAGAGGGAGTTGTTAGAATCCTTTGTCAAAAAGTATGTGTCTTTTTAGTTGTTATTATTTTTTGTTGCATTATTATTTATAATTATCAAAAACATATTTATGTAATTTGTGTCTGAATTGCAGACGGAGAAAGCAAAGGCTTTTAAGACAACTAAAAAAGACTTTGGTTACTCATGCAAGACCAATATCTAGCTTCAACTAGCCTTTCTTACCCCAAAGGTAGTATTGTCAAAAAAAATTATAGCATTTGACTATTTTACAATATCTTACTAGATCCAAAATGTCTAATTTTAGCCTTTTTTTCCTTTGTTTTTTTTTTGTAAAATATTCAACTTTTTGTTATGTTTATATATTGTGAACATGTCATCAAAAGGAGTAACAAAACCAAGATTAAAGATCAAACGAAAGAAAAAAATGGTGGTGGATGCGACAACTTCAAGTGATGCATCAAATATGAGGTTACGATGTGTGTGTGAAAAAATCTTGATTTATGTTCAACAATTCTTGAATATTATAGATAAATCCGGTGTAATTCAATTTTAATGTTCATTGCAAATAGTTGCATTCAAATTGTATGTAGTCTACTTAACTTTTATGAAGAAAAACATCACAACAAATATTATGATTGATTTCAAGATAAAATTGCAAAAATGATCTTTCAGTTGTTTACTTTTATATTTGTTGATTTTAAAATTTTAATTTGATTATGTTTTAAGATTTTTTATGTTGAATATATAACTATTTTTAAATTTTCCATAAATTTATAAAAATTAATTTTATAATGCCAAAACTCATTGGTAATCTGTCACATATAATATGTTGGTAATCTGTTAGTGAGTTGTTCCAATATTCTGTCAGTGAGTTATTCTGTGAATCTGTTGTAGAAATATTCAGTCGGTGATCGGTGACTAATTACCGATGGAAAAATCTGTCGCTAAAATAACAAGAATATTAAGACAAATTTTGGTCTATTGCAATTTTGTCGATAAAGCCTATTAGGGACGGATTACTAACGGTTTTGGCTGTCGCTAATGCTCTTTTTTGTAGTAGTGTATGCCTTAGAATCTAATTTAAAAAGTTGAAAGTTATACAAAAGTATATAGAATATTTGGCATATAAATAATAACATTGAAGTGTAGAATTTTGGAATGATTTACTTCCTAATTTAAACATATTAGTATGTATTCATAATATTGTGGGATAAGATTGATTTTATGTAGATTTTATACCTTATTGTATATTGGTGAATTAAATTAAAGGGTAGAAATGTAATATCATGTATAATTTCCATTTTTTAACAAGCCATGTTAATTACTGTCTTTTATTTAAAAGAAGATTTTCAAAATCTTTTGTTGATATGATATGATACTTTCTCCATGGTGTAGATAACAAAACTAATTTATAAAGACAAATCTATTAAAGCATTGAATGTGTAATGATAGTTTTAATTTAAGAAGGCTAAAATTTGACCTTTAAAATGTTTGTATAATTTGTAAATAAAGTTAAAACATCTGTGTTAAAAGTATGTTTAAAAAAGAAAAAAAAAATGAAATTCAAAAAAATAAACGATATATTTCCTACACAATTTTGTGCAAAATCCACTATATATTTCCTACCTCGTGTATGATCCATCATCAGATGTTACAAAAAATGCTTTTCTAAATTCTGTTTTATTAGTATTAAGTCAATTAACTATCTCCATTCCTCAGTAACATTTCATGTAAATAAATAATATATTTTGGTATGTGCAAAATAGTATATATAATCAGTTCAGTTATCTATATTGTTCCGTTCAATCGCGATTCCACAAGTCAATCTAAAAAGAAGGTAAACATTAATCATCTTGTATTTATATTTTATGAACGAAATGAGACAATTGATAGAAAACATAACCGGAAAACTAAAAACAAAACTCTAATCATCGTCCATTCTTGGATATCTTTCTTCCAGAGCACAGTTTCGATCTCTTCCTTTAAAGAAATGGGAGCGTTTCACGCAGATGATGATTACAATTACTTGTTCAAGGTTGTTTTGATCGGGGATTCAGGTGTCGGGAAAACCAATCTTTTACTACGATTCTCCGAGAACGAATTCAACCTCGAATCCAAATCCAACATCGGGGTTGAACATGCCATCTGTAGCATCGTCGTTGATAACAAGATCATCAAAGGCCAAATGTGGGACACCGCGGGTAAAGAAAGGTATTTTCATCATTAATTAATATTTGGAACTCCTAGATCTAACACCCTTTGACCCTATCTGTATATATCCAATACAGATATCGAGCCATAACTAGGGCGTATTATCGAGGAGCTGTAGGTGCATTGATCGTATACGACATCACACGTAGTATAACATTTGAAAATGTTCAAAGATGGTTGAAGGAGCTTCGGGATCACACAGATCAAAACATCGTGATCATGCTCGTGGGGAACAGAATGGATCAGGCTAACTTACGATCTGTCCAAAAAGAGGATGCAAAGACATTTGCAGAGAGAGAGAATATTAACTTATTCATGGAAACATCGGCTCTCAACACGTTAAATGTCAACAATGCTTTCACCAAAGTGTTGACTCAGATTTACCATGTCGTGAGCAAGAAGAAGGATGATAATCATCATTATCATCAAATGGTTGAACCCAAGGGAGAAACGATTAACGTTGGAGGTCGTAAAGATGTCGAGATCACAAGTGAAAATGTAGGTTTCCTTTTTCGAAAACATACCTTAAATCCTGACATGTTGAGCTTTTCTTAGTATAATAGTTTGCTAGTTCTTCTCACTCTTTTCATTGGTTGAATTTTGATATATCCAAAACATGTCGTGATTGCCAATAGAGGCTTACAATCTCTCATAATCATTATAACATTTAGCTAATCACATTCATAAATCATACGTTATCCGTAGGATTAATTATGAATATTTGCTCCAAAGCGCGTTTGTATAATGAGTTTATTAATTGCACTATATTAGGTCCCATGCTTTCTTAATTACTTCTCATTTGCAATGTTGCCTTATTATTCGCGAGACATAATGTACTCATCATAGTATCCCGGATTCTTTATTTTAACTTTTATCCTAATGGAAGTTGTTTCTTTTGCATGCAACTTCTATTTATGCATGTTTATATATTTCAATTATGTATGTGTATTTGTATGTATATATTACTAATGAACAATGAACAATGTAATGGGTTGCAGGATTATGCTATGGCATCAAGAATGTATTTACTAGAAAATGGCTCAACAAATGTGCCCCCAAGGCTCTCTAGTGTTGATAACTTCTCCATTTGGAAGAACCGTATGATTGGTTTCCTAAACTTCGTTGACAGCAAATTGGTAGAAACAATAAAGGAAGGTCGGCATACTCCTCTAATGGAACGAAGCATGGAGTTATGAAGATAAACAAAAAGTTGCCCTTGATGATAAGGCAATGCATATTCTAAGTGTCTCCTTGCCTGATGATATTTATCGTATTGTCATGTATTGTGAGTCAGCAAAGGAAATGTGGGACATTCTGATTGTCCTATTTGAAGGTACCGGTGATAAAGAGGGGGAGATTGAGAAATTATGGTCAGGGTAGTATAAAAAAATTTCCAATAAAATATATTTAGATAAAAAAAAACAATTAAAGATTACGATGATCAAGTCAATTGCATCAAACACAAATATGATACTACATTGATGCTTATTTAGGGAATATATGATCAAGGTTCTAAATAATGTTATGCGTGAGTTTGTTGCAATATCAAGCTTCAAACTTTTACGAGTCATGATGAATTATATCGGTTGTAAAACATGACTTAAGGCTGCAATTTTGTATATAATTAATAATTTTATATATATTTTCTATTATATATATATATATATATATATATATATATATATATATATATATATATATATATATATATATATATATAACTTAAGACAATTGTTTGTTAAAGGGTGACAAAAGATACAAGTCTTGGAGTCATGGTGAACTTTTTAGAACGTTGCATATGAGACTTAGATGTTAAGTAGGACAAATATAATATTTTGTTGTTTATTTAAGAGATGTATGAAATTGCTCCAAAAGTTCTTTTTGCATTCCATGGAATAAACTCATTCCATTCGCTCCTCAATTTCTTCGTACCATAGACAACCTAAGGATCAACATCATTTCAAGATTTGGGAGGAGATAGAATAGGGTTATATAAAGATGTAACAGTTTGAAGGCTATATGTTATTATTATGTGTGGTTTTTTTCCAAGTTATGTCCTCCATAAAATAATCATCATGTTAGTTTTACATTCTATTAATTTAAAGTTGTGTACTAAAAAATGTATAGCATCGTTTCACAATTCATCTTAAAATCAATATGCAATCATAGATTTAAAAAGCTTCGTTCTTAACTGGATTTTTGGTCCCTTTGGTTATCCAAAAAGTGTGGATAAGGTGCAAAATGCGTTCAACTTGAACTATTAGTCCAAAACCTTAAACTTTTTGTGGTTTTGATCCCTACAAAACTTAAAATTATTTAGAACAACTATTTTGCCCTTTCATTGTGTTTATTCCATTTTTTTATATCTTTTAGTAATTTAGTAGTTGAAATATATATATATATATATATATATATATATATTATCAACACCCCTCCCACCCCACCTCTTACGCCGATAACCCTACCCCTCTCTTACTGATATAATTAACAACTGTACACTAATACACATACATAGACTATCAACACAATGAAGTTCTGCGAAAAGATTATGCAGATTCAACGCATATGAGCACACATAATGAAGTTTTGGAAAAATTGATACAAATTAAACACACATACCTCTCTCTCTTGCATTTCTCGTTCTCTCTTCCTGATTCAACAAACACACACACACACATACTGATAAACCAGATTGAGAACATTGATAAGCCAACACCTCCCACTGTTATTCTCTTTCTTGAGTCTCTCATTCCAACAAATGATTTTCACTATCGGAGCTAGGTTTTCATTCAGTGAACCTCCAAGAGTGAAGCGGTCATCAGTGTATGTGTGTAGTTGTTCAGATCTGAGATTTTAGGGTTTTTAGATGCTCAGGTGTTGTCAATTTATGTGTTCATCGATGTATGTATGTGATGAAGGTCTGATTATCAAGCACTTGTTCAACACCATTATTTCCATATCTCAATTTTTTGACGGCCTAATCTTCAAATTCTGAATCAATTTCTTGAATGTCCAATATGCAGATTCTGATTCTTTACAGTGACTCAATTTCACCACCGAAAGGGGTTGCAGATATGGGTTTTAACTCGTGGTTGTTCTTATGTGTGATGAACCCAATAGAAGAAGGGAGGGGTGGGGTTTACGAATTGGGAGGATGGGTTAATATGCTTTAGAAGATTGAGATCCCATTTTTCATCAGAATCATTTTTTAGGGGAATTCCATTTGAGATAAAAAAAACTACTCCAGTTCTAAGGAATCATTTTAATGATGGTGGTGACTTCAGGTTTTTTTTTAAGGTGGCTCTAAAATTATGTTACCTGGTGTTTTTGTCCTTGAAGGGATGAAGAAGACAATGAGAGAAAGAGGGTTTTGCAAGTGAAGAGTAGGGGTGTAAACGAGCCGAGTCGAGTCGAATACTACCAAGCTCGAAGCTCAGCTCGACTAAAATACTCGAGCTCGAAACTTGGCTCGAACTCGACTCGAGCCTTGATTTTAAGATCGAGCTCGGGCTTGTGAAATACTCGACAGTCTCAAGCTCGGCTCGGCTCGGCTCGACTAATATTTAAAAAAAAATCAAAATCACTAAATTGAGTAAGAAATATTAAACATTCTAGATTTAAATGTCCAAACTACCAAAAAACCCACTATTAATCACCGAATATCAATATAACATCAACCATATATGTCATAAATGAATAATTATAAAGAAATGACATATATCTTATAAACGAACAATTATAAAGAAATGGCATATATGTAAATTACACTAAGCTCGACTAAGCTCGCGAGCCTTACGAGTTGAGTATTTTTGTACTCGAGCTCGGCTCGATAAGGTACTCAAGTAGCTCGAGCTCGAGCTCGGATCGATTAAGGTCGAGTCGATTTCGAGTATTTTCCGAGTCGGTCTCGAGTTTCTCGCGAGTTGGCTTGCCTCACTTACACCCCTAGTGAAGAGAGAGAGAGAGAGAGAGAGAGAGAGAGAGAAAGAGAGAGAGGTTACCGGTGGAGAGGGATGGATAAGGTAGGATTTTATTTATTATTATTTTTTAAACATTTAAATACTAAAATTAAAAAAGAAAATAGAAAAAACAAATCAAAAGGTAAAAGAATCATTTCAATTTGTTCAGAGACCAAATCCACGAAAAGTTTGTGCAGTGGTGCAAGTTGAAATTTTTTTGGACTCCATCCATATTTTTTTTGCTAACCATAGGGATCAAATTTGCAGTTTAGTTTTCTTAAATACATAAAACTAACAAAAACAAAAAACAAAAAACAAAGGATTATCATGCCATAGATCTAACATATCTTTTGTCTATAACTACAAGCAAAATAACAACTATTTTTTTTTTTGAAAGGGAACTTCCCTAACGAGGGTTTCCGGGCCAGCTTTCGCGCACCGACTAATCCCCCGCTGCAAACATAAAGCTTTGCTTCATGCCCTGGAGTCACTGCAGACGAACCTCCATGGCCACAAGGGCTGAGTGGTGCCAGGATTTGAACATGGGTCAATAGGTTATCCACCATATCTTCAACATGCCTTACCAAGTCACCACAACCCAAGTGGTTAACTAATTTCAATATTACATCAATTAAAGCCAAAACCTATCACTACCTTGGAACACAATTAAATATTTAAACAACTTAGCAAAAAGATTTTAACAAAAGTCAACAAGCAAGCAAAGTATAGATATTCCTAATAATATGATATTCACATATTGTAACATTCATATTATTATCAATATATTTTATAACTAAAATTGCAAAAATAATCTATATGGTATACATTTACTTTTCTGACCAAATTTTGATTTTTTTGTTTTCGTAGTATTTTTAAGCTAGTTTTGATGCGCATCTGAAATATGTTCTTTAGAAATACTAAAAAGAATAAAATGCATTTCTAATATACTTTTTTATGTTTTATTCTATTTAATTTAAAATTTTATTAATAAAAATAGAGGGTAACTCTCAGTTTGTTCCAATTCTCATTAACCTCAGCTTTCAACCAAGACCCAATTGTATCTCTCTCACCACCTACTACCGCCACAATCATCTCTCCATTCTTCTTATTGTTTTTTATTTTAGTTTAGGTAAAAATAAACCCAAATCGAGTTCATCTAGAAAGAGAAAACCTCAAATTGGTGGTGGTGGGCTTAACATCAAGAGACAAGGGGAAGAGTCAGACATTGCCAACTTGTGACTTGCGGTGAGCTACGATGGTGATGATAGAGCAAAACCAAACGCTATCTAATTGGAAGTGACCCTGGTATGTGGAGGCCCCTTCTTTGGAGACATTCAGTGGCGCCTGGCTTCCTTACCTATTCGTTTTGGTGGTTTGGGTTTGTACTCGGCATACGAGGTTTCCTCCTACACATTTGTAGCCTCGAGGGCTCAATCTCGAGCATTACAGGACCACATCTTATGTGATAGTGGCTTATGTGGTATGGACTCGAATTACCTATGTGCTATGACTCGTCTTCGCGATATGATTCCGGGATTTGACTATAGCGGTTTCACTAATAAGGACACCCCCCCTAAATCCCAAAAAGCTTTGGTATGTGCCCTTTTTAGCAAAATCGTCCAAGATATGGAAGTCGACTTCGACATGACTGTCATGCTCAGGATTTTCTGCTAACTATCCCTATTGATGGTCTTGGCCAGCATATGTCTCCTGTGGAGTACCGAACTATCCTTCATTCTTGCTTCATGATTCCCATATTTCCAATTGACGAGATATGCCCAGTTTGCCGCAAGGCATGTTTGGATACCTTTTGGGAACACACAGTTCATTGTAAAGAGCTCCCTGGTTTTAAGTACAAAAATGATGTGGTTCTGGATGTTCTCTTTGATGCTTGTCGGCGTGTTGGTATTTCTGTGAAGAAAGAAGAGACAGTGATCTTTTTGACGGACCCGCAAGATGAAAGGTCCACACTTAGACTGGCTGACATTTTTGTCTTCGGATGGATAGGAGGGAAGCATGTGTGCGTGGATCTTACTGGGGTCTCTCCACTTGTTGGTTTGGGGAGTCGGGGTTTCACATCTATGCATGCCGCTTCGTGCAAAGTGGTAAAGCACGAGAATGCATGTATACAAAATCAACATGTGTTTGTACCTTTTGCATTCGATACATTTGGTTTTCTCGCACCAGAGGCGGCGGAACTCCTCAATATATTCCAACGGGTCATGCATTCTACTGTTATATCTCCTAGATTCACAAATGTTGTTTTCAAGAGAACTGGTTTTGCCATTCAGAAAGGGCTAGCAGCACATCTTGTTTCCCGTTTGCCTTCAATCGATATGTATTGAACCTTTATTACTAATAATCTTTTTTTCTCTCACCCCTCCCTCTAATCGATTTCAAAAGGGTATGGTCTTTTGATTT